GACACAACACTGTAAAATGATTATGAATCAATAAAAAATGTAAAAAAAAATAAAAGGATAATGGGAATAATATTGCTAGACAGTTTTAGTGTGTACTGACAGCTGGGGCCTAGGCTTCCTAAATTCTCATGAAACCCTCTCAGGTGTGCGTTTTCGTTATTTCTGTTTTTAGGCGGAGAAAGGCACAGAGAGATTAAAACACTCACCCAAGGTCATATCCAGTGTGTTGGTAGCACTGAAAGTCGAACCTGAGCAGTCATGCTGCAGAGCCCACACTTAAGCATTATAGTAGGAGAGAGAGATTTTGAGTAGAAAATTTGAACTTATACTGCATTTTTGTTTCATGCAGAAGGTTGCATTACTGCCATAAAATTAAGGTCAGCAAAAAAGATAGATTGGATGGTGTGGAATGTAGAGGAAAAGCTTATTTATAAACTTGACAGCGCATTATTCAACAAAGAAAAGAGGGCAGGATCCATTGGGACAGAGGAGGGTAACAGAAAAATCAGCTCAGCAGTGTAGCTAAGGGGAAAGTAGTAGTAAGCAAGTAGGAGAAAAAGAACCTGTGATTGGCAACTGTACAGTATGGAACTCATCATCTGAATGTATCCTTTGTCATGTCTGAATAGTCCCATATGCTTTATTCAGCTTTTTTCTCTCTTCCTCTCTTTAGCCTTTTTCAGAAATTGAATCTTCATTTTTGCTTGTTTATTCCTCAGTTGATTCCCCCCGCCCTAACCATCATTCATTCTGTTAGAATTCTAGGGAAACATTTTAGATTTCTAATAAAAATTGAGGTACCCAGGGAGGCAGAAACAGATAGAAATTCAAGAAGAGATTAAGAAGGAAGGACAACCTCTTTTATTTGGAATCATTAAAACTGCTAGTAAAATGAGTAATTTGATCCTTTAGTTGTTACTTAATTGTATAACTATAATTCAAATACATAATTAAAATATTTTTAATAGTACAGTAAGTTTGATGTATAAATTATTTGTTATTGATATTGTTTTTATAAATTTGGTGTGAAGTTATGAGATAGAAAACAAGGCTGATTTTAATTGAGCCATTAAAATTTCATTGTTTGACTGCTACTTGATTTTCTTAATCACATCTATCTTATGTCATAACCTCTTTGTTTTTGTTGGATTATTTTTAACCACAGAGTTTTTTTTCCATGTAGCTATCTAATACAGGATTTTCAGGTTTTAGACATTAACCTTGTCCAAGGGTTTCTTGTGCATGCTGGTAGTTCTT